GCGAGGAGCAGCTGGTGGCTTTGAACCCCCTGAGCAGACCTAGCCACCCAACTTTCTGTGCAGCCACCGGTGTGAGTCACTCTCTGACGTGCACAGAGAAGATGCTGTGGGGATGGAGAGTGGACCCTCGGTTGCCCGGGGCTGGGGGAGAGGAGGGCCAGCTGCGAATGGACAGCGCATGTGGGGTGGAGGGGAGGCTCTACGGTGCATTTCCGTGTTAGGTCACAGCTCTGCACACATGCTCAGCCCGTTCCCTGCTCACGTCACCTAAGGGAACCGTTGGTGTTTTTGTGCTTTGAAGGGGTGGGCTCAGAGGGTGGGTACAGACCCACCCTGATAAACTGGTGAAAGGGCTCTGTGTCCGGGGAAGTGAAGCTCAAGGCAGCCCCGAACACACCCATCCCCTCCCCCTAGCACTGCCCTTGGAGCAGGCAGGCCTCGGTTGGAGTCCTGGCAGGACACCCCTTCCGAGCTGTGTACAGGCAAACAGTCGATCTTGCTTCCCTTTACAAAAACCAAGCACCTGTAGCATCGGGTAGCTGGGACCACCAGACAGCAAATGCCTCACGAGTCCCGGCTCAGGTGTACCCTCAGCACCAGCCCCCCCCACCCCTCGTCCTGTCCCATGCCCTCCTCTCCAGCACCAGGAGCTGACAGGGACCCTTTGTGCAAAGGGTTCCCCAGAGAGAGCAGCCAGCTACCACCTGCAGGGGTCCCCAGTCTCCCCAAATCCTGAAAGAATGTTAAAAAAAGCAACTCCTAATAGTAGTATAGCTTGAACTTCATGAGCTGGGTCTCTCTCTCTCTCTCTCTCTGTTGCGTGCCACCCAGACAGCGGGATGTGGGGGATGGCAGGGAGCAGGCACATCAGAGAGGTGAGCTCTACTCCAGCAGGGTCTCCCTGCAAGGTTTCGGTGGTCACCAGGAGGCTGTGCAGGTGTGCTGGCATTCACCAGACACGGGGCCCCAGGCTTTCTACTCGGAGCTCTTGCAGGGGGGCGGGGAGTGGGGCGGGAAGCGGGTGCTAACCGAGTCCTCACAGAGCTTGGGGCCCAGCTCGGAGTCAGTTGCCCCCGTGCCCAGAGCTTCCCGCTGGTGATGACCATTCGTTTAGAAAGGCACTGCCACCACGCAGCGCCTTGAGTCCCCTCACAGTGTTCGAAAGTGATCAACCTCCAAACAGAGACCAGGCATTAACAAAGTCAG